TTTTGTATAAGCAATGAAGACACATCATTGCCTTTTGTGATAATTCAAAGAAGTTAATCAAATATTCTGAAGCCTTCTTTATACTTTTTCCTTCTGTACCTTGACGAGCTGTAAAAAGATAAACCTGATGTTTTGAATAAAAACATACCTTGTTTGTTTTAACTTTTTTAGCATTTATAATCAACTTATTGTAATGCTTTCTGCACAGAGCCTTTCCAACCAGATCAAGATGTTGACTAGAGCTTGGTATTAACAACCGATCAGACACAATAGAAGCTCCATGCTTATTATAATCACAGACAACATCTTCTTGGCCTTCTAAATCGCAATACCTAGCCTTTTTTTTTTTCTTTTTTTCGTTGGAAACGGTTAAATCTTTGCGAAAAGCTTGCTGTGCAGACATTCTTGCTTTAAGCTCTTTTCTTAATTATGCCTGTAATAAAAGTATGAAAAAACGCTTCTTAGCTAACTCCAAATTACTTAACTGTTACTCGAATTACTTTGGTAGTTTATAGATCAAAAGGTATTCTTTCGATTTTTTTTTGTATCTAGCTTTGCCAATTCGTATCCGTGGCTGCCAATCCATTTTTGTACCTGCGAAACGTTACGCTAATATGTATTTCATATTGTGTAACACCCTGTCGATCATCCAATCAAATTAAAGCCCACTATGTTAATTATCTTTACATTGGCAATAATAATAACTATCAAATCTTTAAAATTAATAAAAGATACTATTCACAAATCAAATAAAAAAAAAAAACAAAAACAAATACACCTGGAATTGCGCGAAATAATACAATTTAACTAAAAAAAAATTTTTTGCTCCATTACTTATGATCGCCACTGTATATACAGTAGTATTTTTTGTGTCGTCTACTATTAAAGGTAGTATTGATCTCATATAATATAACACCGGATCATTAGTTATGATTGAGCTAATGTGTTGGTATAGAAGATAGCTAGATGGCTGTTGCAGTCATTAATTTTTAATTTTATGTACCAATAAAATTCGAATAAAGACTTACATTGTGTATCGGAAAAATAAAAAATTGTGTATCATTGTTTTTTCAATAGAAATAAAAACAAATTTCTCTCATGCTTATCGCTCCGGACTTACAACAGTTCCTGTTTTCCTAGTAATAGTACTCTCTACCTTTAGATAAAATTAAAGTTAGAATTGTTCAAAGATTAGAGATTTAAGTAGGGATTGGAACCGCCTAAAATTTTTCTTAATCGTTTAACCGTTTAATTAAAATAATTCCTCATTCCTTATATTTTTGAAAATTTTTTGGCTAATTTATGTAAATCACCCAAATCAGAAAATTAGTCGCCGAGAGAAAACCTACACTATATTTGATCCCAAGCCGAGTTTTAATTTTTGCAAATACATTATTAAAAATCCATGTGAATTATTATTTTTAATAACGAGCATGAGCGTTCCTTTATTTTGAAAATAATGCACATGTGCACGTACGTACGTACTTCGCAACTACGGTATATGGGGTGTTACATATTAAAACAGCCATTTTTGTTGAAAAAATTTTTATTTGATTTTGAATAGATATCTATTCAATAAAAAAGGTTGTCATAAATAATAAGAGCTAATTGTATAGTAAAAAGATCCACAAAATGAAATTTTATACGTATTATTATTTGTAAATCATTAAATCCGATTTACTCAAAATGATTAGCATGTAAAAATGGGTTGTTTTAACACGTAACACCCCATATAACATATCACATCACTTTAGAGCCGCAATAATTAATATTATAGCAAATATCAGAACTTATATTGTGAAAGAAAGAAAAAAAGTCAGAAATATCATGAAATACCAAATTTTAAAAATATTTTTACTCGCAAATATCTTACCTAGGTCAGCTGTTAATAAAACTATATTGACTAATATATATCTGTGACTCTCTTAATAATTTGAATCTTTAAAAGGCACGTACAAAAGCACATAATAAAATTTAGTTGAATTACTGTACTTTGTAAAGATTTGCAATACAAAAACTTTCAGAGATATCAAGGTGGCAATTTATTCCAAGATTTATTGCATCAAATTAATCAAATTGGCAAATTTTCATTCGCCCATAATTTAAATGTTCGGTCAAAACCGGATGAAGCAATTAACTTATTGTCTAAAAAGTAAAATTTTAAATTCAGTTTAAATTAATATCATCACAATATTAAAATATAACGGACAAACCTGAGGAAATATCAACAGCCATTACTTTTCCATCGTGTCCAGCCAATATTTTAAGCAAACTCCAATCATCAGCAGACCAAATATTCACAAAACCATCATAACCACAACTTGCCAAATATAATCCGGATACTGTTGGTTTAATACCTCTGGCATCCTCTTCACTGATAAACGCTAATGAAGCGTGAAAAAATCTCACATCAGATACAAGAGATTTATGCGCAGCAATAGTATAGGTGCATCGCAAAGTCCGAATGTCCCAAATTCGTATAGTATTATCCGCGCTTCCAGTAGCAACTTGATAGCTAACAGAAAGACTGTTATTTATTTGACCGAAAGCAGCAAAAACGTATAAGTATCTTGAATATTCTAACATACCCATTCGGCGAAAAGTCTACACCCAAAATGTCTTTAACATGCCCTTCTAAGACCATAGCAGATCGTCCCGTCCTTAGATCCCAGACACGTCCAATAGCATCTAATCCACTAAATCAATCGAAATTAATTATTTCAACCACATGTATTTGCAATTTAACATAATTAAATACCCAGTAGCCACTAAAGCGCCGTCATTTTGAAATCGAATTGCATAAACTTCTTTAAAATGTCCTTCTTGAAGTAACAATTCCCCAGTGGTTTCAATATCCCAAAGGCGCCATGAATAATCGAAACTGAAAAAAAAAGGTAATTAATGAAAGGTGAATTAAAAACAACTACGGCAAGAAAGCAGTTATAAAACTTAGTAACTACCTTGCTGATCCAATAAATCTTCCTGAGGGATGAAAATCAATCCTACCCACTCTAGACGTATGTCCCCGCAACGTGCCCAATGGTGAATCACTTTCCAAAGACCATAAATTAATTAAACCATCAGCTGCACCCGAAGCTAGGTTTACTACACTCTTGTCTATAGAAAGGGTAGATTGTGGATGCCATGCAACACCACCAATACGATCAGCATGTCCTGTAACATATCAACCATCTTTTTTTAGGCGTTTTTATTAAGGACAAATAAAAAACTTATGGTAACGGTAAAGAAAGAAAGTAACCTTTAAATGTTATCACGGTTTCACAACTTGGTACACTCCATATTCGACACAAACCAGACCAAGAACCAGTAGCAATTAAACTACAATCAGGTGAGAAAACACATTGTGAAATTGGACGATCATCTCCAATTTGTGAGCTAAAGTTCGCATAGGACTAAACAAAACCAGTAATAAATAAAAAATGAAGTAAATGAATCAAAAAACCCCCACCGAATAATTAACAGCTCTTACCTTTAATCCTGTAAATAAATCTTTTCTCACAGATTTTATCTGGGGTAGTGGTAAATCGTACTCGGCTCGTTGCTTACGAAGACGGTCTCTGGCTCTGAATAAAAAGTGGTTGGTGCATTAATATTTTCCTAAAAAATAATTAATTGCATACAGTATATATTGACAAACCTTGGTAAAGAATATCTCGTAATCCATCGACGAGCTTCCAAAAGTTCTAAAGTCCCTTGAGTGAAAAATTCTTCCTCCCTCTTGATTTTACAAATACGAACTGAGTCCACTATTTCGTCAATATGTTGAACATCTCACAAGAATGAAAAATAACGTAAATGATATATGACGTACTTCTTCCTCAGATTCGCTCTCAGTTTCCTCATCTTCATCGGGAACTATTTCAGCACCCTCTAATTTTGATAGTAAATATCGCAAACGATCACGCCGATCACCAGGCTATATTAAAGATCGTTTGATGCGTTAACTGAATTTAAGCATTAGAAAGATGGATTATTCGCAAGTGCAACACTTACACCTTCTCCAAACAAACATTGTGGTTCACCAAGTTCTCTAAGTTTTGCTCTCACGCGACCGTCATCGGTGGGCACAGCTAAAGTCCTTGCACGTTTCTTTCGTTCAAACTCGTCAAGTATTGCCTGATGTTCCTCTCGTGCTTTCTTGGATGAATCTGATAATTCATAGTTCATCATATCTTCACCTGTGGTATTACGGCATATCAAATAAAATTAATTCAATAATGATAATAGACAAGAGCCTATTTGAACGGAAATAGCATACCCAAATCTTCCAAAGAAATCCCATTAGAATCCTTGAGAAAGTTGCTAATACTTTTTAGTGAAAGATGCGAAAAGGTAAAATAGTAAAGAAAGGTATGCATACTTCAGAGATTGTAGCCATCTTTACTGAATGCTGGAATCCTCCGACACTAAAGTAAATCAAAATCAAAATCAATATCAGTTCAAATATGTCACCGAATTTGCATGTGATATCTAAAAATAAGAATGCTGTTAAATATCGCAGGTTAACATAATCGACCAATTAGATCACAGAATCTTATGTAACAAAAATCAGCGAAAAATTAGAAAACTTAAGACAAAGAATCAAAATTTTAAAATTTCATTATGCAAACTTGTTTTGAGCTACTAATTAAAAGTTTTCAGCACTTAATTTTGCGTACATATGTGTCCTTTAATCCCAATTCTAATACTAGTTCGAACCCTAACCCTAATTAATAAGAATTTTAATTTTTTTTAAATATTAACCTGCGATATCACAACCTGCTAAATTTAACAAAATATTAAATAATCTATTTTAGAATTGCATGCTTTTATTTGACGACACTTATATGAGTGTCGTCAAAGGAAAACCCGACAATTTAAAAATAGAACTTTTGTATGACAAAATTAGTGTTTGTAGTCGATCCTAATTTATCGACTTGACTAAGTCGATATTTAAAAATCGGCTTAGCCGGCTAAGTTGGA